ATCAGACAAATCAAAAGTGGGAAGGCGGCAGGACCTGACAATATACCAGCAGAAGCACTGAAGTCAGACATTGAAATAACTGCAAACATGCTTCACCTTCTATTCAAAAAGATTTGGGAAGAGGAACAAGTGCCAACGGACTGGAAAGAAGGATATCTCATCAAGATACCAAATGAAGGAGATCTGAGCCAATGTGAGAACTACAGAGGCATCAGTTTGTTATCAGTACCAGGAAAAGTTTTCAACAGAGTGCTGCTGAATCGGATGAAAGACGCAGTAGACGCCGAACTAAGGGATCATCAGGATGGATTCCGTAAGGATCGGTCATGCACAGACCAGATTGCGACACTACGGATCATCGTTGAACAATCAGTTGAGTGGAACTCATCACTATACGTCAACTTCATCGACTATGAGAAGGCGTTTGACAGCGTGGATAGGAGAACATTGTAGAAACTTCTTCGACACTATGGAGTTCCTCAGAAGATCGTCAACATTATCCAAAACTCATACGATGGATTACAGTGCAAAGTGGTGCATGGAGGACAGCTGACAGATGCATTTCCAGTAAGGATTGGAGTCAGACAAGGCTGTCTGCTCTCCCCATTCCTCTTCCTTCTAGTGATTGACTGGATTATGAAGAATTCGACATCTGAAGGGAAATACGGAATACAATGGACTTCTCAGAATCAATTAGATGATTTGGACTTCGCAGATGACCTAGCCCTCCTCTCTCATACACACGACCAAATGCAGATGAAGACAGCAAATGTAACAGCAGCCTACGCATCGATAGGCCTCCACATTCACAAAGGAAAAAGCAAGATTCTCAAATGCAACACAGAGAACACCGACCCAATCACACTTGATGGCGAAACTCTGGAAGAGGTGGAAACATTCAAGTACCTGGGGAGCATCGTTGATAAACAAGGAGGATTGGATGCAGATGTAAAGGCAAGGATTGGCAGAGCAAGGGCAGCATTTCTACAATTGCAGAACATATGGAACTCAAAACAACTCTCAACCAATTTCAAGGTCAGAATCTTTAATACGAACGTCAAGACAGTCCTACTGTATGGAGCTGAAACGTGGAGAACTACTACGGCCATCATCAGGAAGGTACAAGTATTTATAAACAGTTGTCTACGCAAAATACTCAACATCCATTGGCCGGATACTATCAGCAACAGCGTTTTATGGGAGAGGACAAACCAGCTTCCAGCTGAAGAGGAAATGAGGAAAAGACGTTGGAAGTGGATCGGACATACATTAAGGAAATCACCAATGTGCATCACGACTCAATCCCTAACTTGGAATCCGGAAGGGAAGCGGAAAAGAGGAAGGCCAAAGAACACACTACGCCGGGAAATAGAAGCCGATATGAAAAGGATGAATAGCAACTGGAAAGAACTGGAAAGGAAGGCTCAGGACAGAGTTGGATGGAGAATGCTGGTGAGCGGCCTATGCTCCTCGACGAGGGGTAACAGGCGTAAGTAAGTAAGTAAAGCCTAGTAATAGATATGAAATTGTTTTAAAGTCAAGAATATCCTTTAATTCTTTTATAACTGTTAATAAGCCTATTCCAAGTACATAAATTATCAAGAATAAGAGAATTTCGATAATGCAATGAGAAGACGAAGATTATCAGAATTATGTGATATATTAGCGCAATACATTTCGAACAATCTGATCACACATATACTTGTTAAGACATTTTTTATATGAAAATTAAAAGGTCAACTACACAGGTTAAGGTAAGAAAATAAATAAAGTACACAAAAACAAAGTGATGACTACTCTGGATAATAAATAAGCATTACCAGGGTAGGTTAAGGGTAAGAACAAATTGTTTTTGAACACATAAAGGGGGTTTCAATTTCCGTATAGCCAAGGCTTCAATAAACCTTAGTATACGTCCTTGAAGGCTTTTGTACAACACTACAAATGCTGATTTGATGTCAACCTTATGACCAGTTTCAACTAAATGTTTCGCAATAGAGGAAGATGTTTGTCTGTCCTGTGATCTTATTTGACTATTCGAATTCATTTGGTTCTGTAGCCATTTAGGTATGTGTTCCACCACCCTTATTTGCAAATCACGATTGCTCCTCCCTATGTACGTGTTTCCGCACATACATGTAAATTGGTATACACAATGGGATGTGACACAATCGCTTATATGCTGTCTAGGTTTTTGGTGAAACATCGACCTTGTCTTTTCAATGATGACAAGTTGAGCTGCATAGAATGTCCTATTTATGGCTAATTTTAGTCTCCGTCTTAACATGAGACTATTAGAGTCACTTCTAAATGGTAATGTAATATAAACTCGCTTTTAAATAAGAGAATTGTTTGTCTCTGATAAGTCTTGCTAATTGAACGCTATACTCGGATCCTAAGCTAACCTCGTAAACCAGCGACTTGAACACGAGAGAAAAGGAGTAAAATATTCGAGAAACACTTTACTCCAAAGGTTCATTTATGTACAGAAAATATAGGGTTTTTATAGTATTTTTAGAATTCTTTGAGCTTTTCTGAAAATTCTGGAACCCTACTAAACATAGTAGCAGTGTAGTAAACAGTCCCATAATAGGATGAAACGGCCGTCCAGTGCTTCCATGTTTTCGATGGTGGTCTGACTTCAATTGACTCATGATTTCAATTATGAAGATAAAGCTTTTCTTAACTTAGTTAATCACTCATCAATCTTTATTTGCATGTGATGAACGTCAAATGTATAATACATAAATAGTAATAGGATGTTTGATTTGTACAAATGAAAAATGCTAATGAATATAATTATCATATAATATATTAAACAAAATGCTATAAAGCACAAATCTTCAAACGTTTTGACTGCTTATGCAAATTCATGCATAATTTACGGATAAAAAATAATCAACTTGAATACAAAGAAAGTTGATTACATCATTGGTTACTTTTATTTAATTTAAGGTTAGAAACGGTTAAGTGCTCTGGAGCGAGACTGGTACGTCCTGGGTTCGAATCTTGCGAGACGGGATCGTGGATGCGCACTGCTGAGGAGTCCCACAATAGGACGAAACGGCCGTCTAGTGCTTTCAGGTTTTCTACGGTGGTCTAGTTTCAATCGACTCATTATCTTAACTATATAAAATTGCTAAAATCTCCACAAAAACCCCCTTGCGAAACAGGATAATTTGAAATCTTTTCTGTATTACTTTGATGTGTTTAACCATTAAAAAAAAACAATTTTTGTTATGCAAAAAAAGTCACGAATAAACAAGTGAATGAGGTCATATAAAGTTAGTTCATTTTTCAATTATAAATGGTTTGATTTTGAATAAAATAAACACAAAGTAAGGACTTAAGTGTTATATCCCGAGGAGATTTATGAATGGTAACTTTGAGGACTATTTATGGACCAATATTATATGTATATTTCCTATTGTATCATTGCTAAGTAACTTAACTATTCCTATTCGTGTCCCTCTTATCATAGGCTTTATTTTGACCCATAGAGTGTTATTATACGATTCTGCTAGGCAGAAAGCAAAACTGATAAGTACTCAAGACTGCTCATACGCTTCTGTATATCATTGCTCTGATCGATAATTCACTGTACTCTGATTGGCGGGAATCAGCACGTTCACATATATATTAAACAGAGCACGCACTCATTCGATATAACATTAGGATTATACAGTTTTATAACTTTTAGTATCTACCTAGTACTACAATAATGAGATTATCCGGTATGATGAACTTCCATATACTTTACTTGCATGTTGTTTGAATCATCGGAAATTCAATTCAGTTCACTTTAAAATAATAATAATAAAGTTTAAATTTACTTAGTATTGTTTGTTTGTATCTTCCCATTGATGTTTAGGACTACAACTGGTCAGTCCCTAATTGGCATATGTGCATACTGTGCATACGCTAATAAGAGTCTGGTCAATCGCAGTGCAAAATAACAATGGGTACATACAAGTAAACAATACTAAGTAAATTTAAACTTCACCCCATCGCACAAGCAAGTGACTATCAGGACTCAGTAGTTGAGTGGATAACGCGATGGCGTTTGAAGCGAAAGTTACTGGGTTCGAGTGCCAGAGTGAACATTAACTCTGAGGTACAGGTACATCCAGATGACGAGTCCCAAATAGGGCGAAACGTGCGTCCTGGATTCTACTGCTAGCCACTATCTATCTTTGCTTATAATAATAATAAAGTATGAAATATGTTACCTTAACTTAATTTAATAATCAGATTTATTTTGATATTGATGAAACTTAATTATTCTGCTTGTCTTTTCACACTATTTAAAGTTGTTCAATTATCTAGTTATTTAAGCTGAAGAAATGGCTTACGTAACAGTAATGAAACATCAGAAACTTTAATTTCTACTGATTGAAATAACACAATGAGATCTTTCATGTACTATAGTTTATTTATGTTATTTATTTAAACACATAAATAGTGGTACAAAGGGGCACCAGATATATATGTGCCGCACAAATCTCATTTGATTTGTGTGAGAGCTGTGATACTGCCCGGGTGCCTAAACCGAAGCAAGTGATTTTCTTAGGAGACCACAACCGGAGCCTCTAACCTAAAGGTCTAATCCATAAGACAGTGGAGTAACGTGAGGAGATGCATTCCCATGGTATCCGGTGTCCAATTGGTCCATACTCCATCTTTTCCTTCAAGATCCTTGAGCCCATGTACACCATTGGTTTGGAATCAGGGTTTTCCAACTCTCCTAAGTGGATCCTCTGTGTTCACCAACCTGATTAAAGCGCCAGACATTCACTTTTCGTCCTCTGAATTTCGTAAACAACAATAATGCCACGAGAAGGCAGTGAGTAGGACGTCCCTGGCAGGGGCAGAGCATTTAGAGAGGGAGAGCGGACTCTCCCCACTCTTGACCGTACCAGGGCATTTGAGGGCATTTATTATTATTATTATTATTATTATTATTATTATTATTATTATTATTATTATCAACAAACTCAGTTATGAATACAATCTTTGAAGAACTTATATCCCTGATTGATAGATTTATATTTATGTGTAAGTTTAGTTGGATAACTAATGTTGATATTTAACTGAATACAACTTTTGTAAACATATAATTCCACCATTACATTTTCAATCTATCAAATAAATGTTTATTAGTTGATATAGGCAAACAAAAACACATTTCAAATAATCTTAACAACAACATTTTAACATCAAGTATATGTAAATCAGGCAAAATATTTTCATATTATAAAACCTAATTAATGCTCCCTATGAATCATATAGGGAGTGTACATAAATGATGAAAAATAACTTTAAACATATACATTATATCAGTCAATCATGTTGTCTAGTCTGAGTTAGGTAAACAATCTCTTGACAATGATCAGAATCAATTAAGGTTTACCTATTTATCATTTTATTTGAAAGAACTGATAAAAATGAACATTTGATTTTTGATCTTGAATGATCAAGTTTCTGTTGATCTAGCAAGGAATATGAACTGTAACTGTTCATACAAATCTGTGAATTTGATCAAAGTTTATCATTAATGAATTCCAGAATTTATGGGCATCATATTGATAAATAGTCATTATTGTATAATTGTTAGGAGTTTTAGTTTTTGTTGATCATATCCTATCGCTTCAAAACTATAATAACTCAAGAAACAGGGGCTCTTTAAAAATTTCAAATAAGATTTACTGTTTATTATCAGAAGGGGTTTTTGTTGAAATTTAGTATTTTAATAGTTAAAAGCGTGAGTCAAATGAAGCTAGACCACCATGGAAAATCTGGAAGCACTGTTTGATGGCCGTTTCGTCCTATTGTGGGACTCCTCAGCAGTGCGCACACACGACCTCGCCTCGCGGGATTCGAACCCAGAACCTGCCAGTCTCGCGCCCACAATAGGACGAAACGGCCGTTCAGTGCTTCCAGGTTTTCCCTGGTGGCCTAGCTTCAATTGACTCACGCTTTCAACTATGAGAATTTACCGTTTAGTAAAATAGTGTTCTTATTTGAAATCTATATTTAACTTCTTGTGTTTATCTTTCTATTGTTATTCAACAACTCCACATGCTGGGTCGTGAATGAGCATTGCTGAGGAGTCTTATATTAGGACGAAACAACCGTTTAGTGCTTCCAGGTTTTCAATGTTGATGTAGCTTAGATTGACTCATGAATTCAACTACTAAAATTACTATAATCTCCACAACCCCTTATTCTGATAATAATCATATGAAAAATGACGAAAAGATCAACTTTACAAAAAATCTAGGAAATAGTGATAACTATTGATTATTAAGCATTAAAAATGACCTTTCATTTCAACCTATATTTTAATAAGTTTTCATCTATCTGCAACTCAATCTTATGAATTATTGTGTTAAGTAAGTCCGAGTGAAGTGTTCATCGAAAGTGAGATGTCTAGAAAACTACTGAAAGTAATCATATAAACAAGTATATAATTCAGTCGCGCATTCAATTATTTAGAAATAAATCGCTCGACCTCATTTAACTGACCGTGGAAATACCAAGTATTGTGTGAGCGTCTGTTTTGAGATGATGATGATGATGATGATGATGATGATGATGATGATGATGATGATGATGATGATGATGATGATGATGATGATGATGATGATGATGATGATGATGATGATGATGATGATGATGATGATGATGATGATGATGATGATGATGATGATGATGATGATGATGATGATGATGATGATGATGATGATGATGATGATGATGATGATGATGATGATGATGATGATGATGATGATGATGATGATGATGATGATGATGATGATGATGATGATGATGATGATGATGATGATGATGATGATGATGATGATGATGATATACACGATTATATACACGATATGATTGATTTTTATAAACTATTAGGTGATGTATCACAAATACGCGAAGCAAGAAGAAAAACCACCGATTGCACCCTTCCAACTCTACCATTGTCTCTTCGTGATAATATATTTATTATTATTCTTGAGTAATTTATATTGGATTGTTTGTGAAATATTATTATTATTATTATTATTATTATTAAATGTTTACCTGATGTGAATAACAGGGATCCACTGAAAATGGTAGGGAAGATTTTTAACTGAAGAAAATCATGTTGTTAAAATAGAGAACTATGAGCTGAACGGTTTAATCTTAAAGCTTCCATTGTAATCTTATCAATCAGTTACGCAAATTATAAACTGTAAAGTTAATCATCAGGTAAAAGAAAAAGACAGTCAAAATAAGTATATGAACTACGATATCACAACTGTTGACATCAGCTGACTAAATTTAACGGTCACGAAACAAGACATAACAATTGATGGCGAGACAAAATGAAAAACTTTTATTGCTTGTTATATCACTAGTATATGACAAAATAAAATGAAATTGAGCTTCAGGTTAAGAAAGTTTTCATACACCACTTACGTTGACCATTTTGAACTACTACACAGATGATATTCGAATTTATCTAACAGTTTAAATTTATCTTTATACATATGGATTGTGAGACCAAATTACATATAGTGTGATGTATGCTACTTATGTCGACATACAGAAGGGGGAAACATGAGGGAGATGAGAATTGGAAGAATCGTGAGAAATGTTAAGGACAGTTGATGGAGGATTCTCAAATGAAGTATCAAATGTATGGTTTTTACATTTAACTACAAAACTCTGTAATTTTGCACTGAACAATAAGTTAGTTATCTACACCAAGTCTTCGCTTACTACAGTAGTATTAAACTGGTTAATTTTCATTTGCTAACAAGCATTATCAAATGCTTAGTGATAAGATTCAATTTTGCATATTTTACTAATAACATGTCTGACATATTTCACATGTATGTTGATTTTTAAATTCACCATATCCAAACAAATAGGCCATGTTTTTTTGTTGTTTAAAACAAATAAATAATTTTGATAATTAGTCTATTCCACGTGCAAGTTTAAATCACCTAAGTGAAAGGTATATTTGTAAGTAAACTTAATTAGTTTGAATTCAGCATCATTATTTTTAGTAGAAACGGTATCGTTGGTAGTAGTAGTAGTAGTAGTAGTAGTAGTAGTAGTAGTAGTAGTAGTAGTAGTAGTAGTAGTAGTAGTAGTAGTAGTAGTAGTAGTAGTAGTAGTAGTAGTAGTAGTAGTAGTAGTAGTAGTAGTAGTAGTAGTAGTAGTAGTAGTAGTAGTAGTAGTAGTAGTAGTAGTAGTAGTAGTAGTAGTAGTAGTAGTAGTAGTAGTAGTAGTAGTAGTAGTAGTAGTAGTAGTAGTAGTAGTAGTAGTAGTAGTAGTAGTAGTAGTAGTAGTAGTAGTAGTAGTAGTAGTAGTAGTAGTAGTAGTAGTAGTAGTAGTAGTAGTAGTAGTAGTAGTAGTAGTAGTAGTAGTAGTAGTAGTAGTAGTAGTAGTAGTAGTAGTAGTAGTAGTAGTAGTAGTAGTAGTAGTAGTAGTAGTAGTAGTAGTAGTAGTAGTAGTAGTAGTAGTAGTAGTAGTAGTAGTAGTAGTAGTAGTAGTAGTAGTAGTAGTAGTAGTAGTAGTAGTAGTAGTAGTAGTAGTAGTAGTAGTAGTAGTAGTAGTAGTAGTAGTAGTAGTAGTAGTAGTAGTAGTAGTAGTAGTAGTAGTAGTAGTAGTAGTAGTAGTAGTAGTAGTAGTAGTAGTAGTAGTAGTAGTAGTAGTAGTAGTAGTAGTAGTAGTAGTAGTAGTAGTAGTAGTAGTAGTAGTAGTAGTAGTAGTAGTAGTAGTAGTAGTAGTAGTAGTAGTAGTAGTAGTAGTAGTAGTAGTAGTAGTAGTAGTAGTAGTAGTAGTAGTAGTAGTAGTAGTAGAATTAGTTGTAGTAATAATAATAGTGCCTATAATATCGTTTTATTTTAATTAACATCTCACATGACTCGTGGTATACATCTATTTACCTAGAGAATCAATCATACAAGTTGTAGACTGTTTTTCATATTCATAAAGTGTTTACAAATGGTGTTGTTCTGTAGTATGTCAATACATTTCTTTATTTATGATTTTTGTTGTCTATGGTAAACTGTTTATTAGAATAAACCAATCAGTTTACAAGGCCTAATCACATACATTACTACTTAAACCTGATAGACTTTCTTTGTTTATCCCAAGTAAGAATAAAAATAAAAATTCATCTGTAATTTTATACATAATTAGGGTTTGTTTGATATGTATTGCTCAAGATTTTAGTGGAAACTGCTTTTTAATAACCAAATGAAAGGAATTGCGTTATGGTGTGTCCTACTGATATCGATAGATATAAGTAGTATGTATTATCAAACGGAAGTGGAATGCCTGGAGGCAGAAGGTTAATAAGTTCGAAGAGAAGAAAACGAAAACATAAAGTTGTTAGTATGGAAACTAAAGGATAACAAATTCTGAGATAATTGATTGACACTTTTCAAATGAAGTATTTACGGTATGATTCTCAGATTCTACTAAGAGATTCTGTTCATGTTGACAACAGCGTAAACATAATTTTCACGTTTATGTATAATTTAAGGTCGCGCAATTATAATCTCAATATTAAAATGCTCTAAATAATACCACAATTTTAAGATAACCTATACTCAATAAAGTGAGTAGCGAGTGTTAATAAAATATGTGATCATTTTTTCATGCTAATATATATTCATCCATAAAATAACTCACTTTGCGTTTTGTACCAATAGGTTCTAGGTTCGAATCTCGTGAGGCGGGATAGTGGATGAGCACTGCTGAGGAGTCCCACAATAGAATGAAACGGCCGTCCAATGCTTTCAGGTTTTCAATAGTGGTCTGACTTCAATTGACTCATGATCTCAACTACTAGGATTTAACAAATGTTTGTTAGTATTTCTTATTAAGATAAGTGATCAACTTCTGTTTATTTGTACACAAATATCATGGTCATCAATCATAGTCTAATATTGAATAACATATGTAACCAGTAAACAAAATTAATATAGCTGACTGTATGTTTTATTTTAAATAAATTTCGATAAATGACAGTTTGAATATTATGTTATCATAAAACTGACTGTTACCATTCACAATGAATTTTATTAATGATCTCTTGGAAAGATGTGATTGTTTGTTTAACTGAACACTTATCTGATGTAATCAAACGTCTTTACCTAATGTAATGGTGGCTCTTTTAGGAAACCTTGATCTAAAAGAGTCACTATTATATTTTTCCTAAATAATAAATGATTCTTCCTTTCAAGAAAAGCAATTTTACATAAGTATCATCAAGTTATGAAATCAATAACAAACTTTAAGTCTTCATCTCAATTTACATCTCCCCTTTTACTCCTCTACATAATCTACAATATCAAAAATTCATTTTATACACTTAGTTTTGCATTTACCTCCCAAGAATTGTAACCCACAAACTTTTGATGTTCTTTCATTCTTATTGTATATACATCATCATATTAGACAAGAATAACTTTTATGTTAGAAATGAAGACGTTGAATTCTGACCAAGTGGATTGAAAGTATAATAGTAACTAGGATATCCAATGACTTAAAGTTTGATTTAATATAGATTGTAGTTTCAGTGTAGGTTGTGGAAATCGGAGTACGTCATTAAAATCATTAAACCCATACTGAAAATTATCATGGGATAACTAGTGATTGACTTTGAGAGGAAATGCCCACAGTTCTAGTGAGAAGCCATGACCAGTGAAGCTAATCAGTGTTCAATGTGCGGTGGTTACCTATCGAAGACAATAGGGATTATTGCGCAATTCCGTGGATTGATTGAAATTGAAAATTAACACCATTGGGTCCCGACTCAATGTTCTAGAGGTTAAGTATTCTCAAGAGAGATTGTAAGGTCCTGAATTCGATTTCCGCGTACAAGATCGTAAATTCACACTACTGGAGAGTCCTATACTAGGACAAAACATCAGCTAACTACGTCGACGTTTTAGCAGTGATCTAACATGGCTTACATATATTTCTTTAAAGATTGAATAATCTAAATTAGTGCTCTATAAAACAATAGTATTATTTTATTGAAATATATCCTCGGAATAAAACCTAACTCAATACTTAAGTATAAGTTTATATGTTCAACTTTGAGTTGTATCTTCTTTGTTTAAGGGCGTAATGATATATATTCTATTGTATAAACTGAAGTAGGTGGATAATAGTTTAAAATGTGACCCAAATATTGGAAGTTCTTTGTAAATATGTAATCAACTAATTACTTATATTATAACAAAAGTAACTTTTATAATTCCATTGTCACTTGTGTTTTATTTGAATCTAAATTTATTTTTCCTTATAATCCTTATATAGTTGTAATCATGAGTCAATTGAAGCTAGACCACTATGGAAAACCTGAAAGCACTGAATGGCCGTTTCATCCTATTGTGGGGCTCCTCAGCAGTTCGCATCCACGATCCCGCCTCACGAGATTCGGACCTAGGACCTACCAGTCTCGCTCCAGAGCACTTAACCGATAGACCACTGAGCCGGTATCCAACGGTGTTAATGTCTAACTTCAACCAATCCTCGAATCTCGCGAGGCGAGATCGTGGACGCGCAATGCTGAGGATTCCCACAATAAGACGAAACGGCCGTCCAGTGCTTTCAGGTTTTCCATAGTGGTCTAGCTTCAATTGACTAATGATTTCAACTATATAAAATTACTAAAATCCCACAAAACCCCCTTCTGATTATAATCTTGAATCAAAAACAGAGTTTTTCCAATAAAAGGACTTACTTAAAGTAAAATAAAACAAAAATTATTAATTTTCGGAATATTATAGTTAATTTACTATTTAATACTAAGTGAATTATTATAAATTCACTGTATACTTGAATATATTTGCGTTTCTTAAGTTCTTCAATTGACATCTGATAACAAACTGAAATAATACAGGGTTTTACTTTCTCTCTCCCTCTCTACATCAAATCTAATTGAACATACATTTTTTGATTAGCTAATCCGTGTCAGGTAGAAACAGGTATCTACCTCAGTACAATGGAAGATCGTCGCGCGATTTCGTGGATTGGTTGACGTTAGACATTAATATCGTTGGACGCCAATTCGGTGGTCTAGAGGTTAAGCGTTCGCACGCGAGACCGAAGGCCCTGGGTTCGAATCTCGTAAGGCGAGATCGTGGACACGCACTGCTGAGGAGTAGCCGTCCAGTGCTTCCAAGTTTTCAACAGTGGTCTAACACCAATCGGTTCATGATCTCAATCGAGTACATAATAATCACCAAAACACCATACTGATAATTTTTTGATGAAATGAATTTATGAGAGTTAAGTATTTTAAAGAAACTAGCACATATAGTTAGTTTGAATGATATAGTCAATCACTTACAAAATATATATTTATATATAAACATGTTTAATTTGACATTTTGACATTTCTTATTTATTGACCACAAAAATGATCTCTTATTGTTCAAGAAAAAGTTTTCTCATAGGTAAATTTGAATAATACAAGAATAAGATGAATTTATTTGTTTCATGGGTTCTCATCATCTGTTTACAACCTAGGGACAATGGTAATAATAACTATCCATCTCTGCTAACCATACTTGTGAATTAAGGCTATATCGAGGTAATACGCACAGTATGCACATATGCCAATTAGAGACTGACCAGTTGCAGTCCTAACAAATCGATGGGAAGATTCAAACAAACAATACTAAGTTGAATGGTAATAATTATTTATAACCAACGTACATACTTTATGTCATATCAATAAAGAATAATGAAATAACAAAAACAGTTATGGAATAACTATTGGGTGGTAAAGTAGATGAATGTTTATATGTTACTGATTGTGACAATTCTATAATCAAACTTTAAAACATATGAGGATACATTTCTAGAGAATGAATACGAATGTCATGGTTATGTAATAACAGTCATATAACTTAATAGAATGACAGAGTTAGATGAATAAGGTTCAATAAGACCTAAGATTGAAAAAAAAAATTGTTAAGTGTATAAAATAACAATATATCCATTTGTAAATGTTTGTAAGTTAATGACTACAACTGACTAGTATCTTTTGCTATATGTGTATCCTGAGAAGACAACCTCGAGATTACTATTTAATCACGAGTTTGTAGCAAAGTTGGATAGTGATCAGCAATGAAATCGAGAACCGAAACTAGTGGCTATCTGGACTCAGTAGTTCAGTGGATAATACATTGTGCGTTTGAAGTGAAAGTTACTGATTTCGAGTCTTGATGTACACATCAATATTGTGATGTAGGTACATCCAGCCGTGAGGAATCTCAAACAGGATAAAACCCACATCCTACATTTCATTGTTACCACAACCCAGCTAATCCACTGAAAATCTTACTTACTTACTTACTTACTTATGCCTGTTACCCCTTGTGGAGGAGCATAGGCCGCTCACCAGCATTCTCCATCCAACTCTGTCCTGAGCCTTCCTTTCCAGTTCTTTCCAGTTACTATTCATCCTTTTCATATCGGCTTCTATTTCCCGGCGTAGTGTGTTCTTTGGCCTTCCTCTTTTCTGCTTCCCTTCCGGATTCCAAGTTAGCGCTTGCCTTGTAATGCGCATTGGTGACTTCCTTAATGTATGTCCTATCCACTTCCAATGTCTTTTCCTAATTTCCTCTTCAGCTGGAAGCTGGTTTGTCTTCTCCCATAAAACGCTGTTATTGATAGTATCCGACCAGTGAATTTTAAGTATTTTGCTTAGACAACTGTTTATAAATACTTGTACCTTCCTGATGATGGCCGTAGTAGTTCTCCACGTTTCAGCTCCATACAGTAGGACTGTCTTGACGTTCGTATTGAAGATTCTCACTTTGAAATTAGTTGACAAATGTTTTGAGTTCCATATGTTCTTCAATTGTAGAAATGCTGCCCTTGCTTTGCCAATCCTCGCCTTTACATCTGCATCCAATCCTCCTTGTTTATCAACGATG